GTGATACGTAAGGTGGCTGCTTGAAATTTCTTCTTCAGACGTTTAGAAAGACAGTTGCCAAAAAGTTCTACTTCGATGTCACCTTCGAAGCGAGTTCTCTTCAAAGCATTTATGATCCTTGTTGATGAATCTTCGTGGAAGCCTGTTCTCCAGAAGGGTTACACGTTATGGGTCTTAATTCTTTCTCTATCGTGTCTTCCGAACAACCTTTTTAATCCTTGAACTTAATGTACGTACTAGGTTTTGCTTTCAGTATTTGAAGTTATTTTAGCCAGTGGTGACTATCAGTGGAATCTCGGATGCACACTTCATCCTATTTGGTGCCTGCAATCCGCAGTGAGTGAGGGTATCCTTACTGAGACTCCTATACAGCATGCACCATTTCAAATCTCAAACCATTATCTGCTTGGTCACTTTAACCAGCACTTCAACAGAAACCAAACATTTCAGTCCCTCATAATTGATCAGTGGGAAGCGCAGAGCTAAATTAAAAATAGCAATGATGTGTACATTATGTGTTTACTAATACTATGGATAGTCAGCTGATTTATGCTTGTACGTTTCGCTACTCAATATCCATCACTGTCATATTTTCTTGTCAGAAATACGGCCAATATGAATATTCATAGGTTTAGATGATTTAAAAAAAGACACCTGAGTGAAATTAAAACTATTTCTTGGACATATTTGATTGATTAAAAGAAAACAAATGAAACCGCTACTCGAAGTTGTATTTATTTCGATGGAACAGGATATTTTGCGGAAATAAAAATTGGGACAATTTGCCATTATTCAAAAACATTAGTATTTTGATTAGTATAACCTCTAAAAGACCGATCTAAAAATATTGCATGCAGCAACAGTATTATGATACATAAATCACCTTTCTGGAGTCCCTGAGCATAATAGAGAATAAAGGAAAGTTTGCGTCGCTGATTCCTATTTTTAAATAAGAAATAGTTTAACTACGGAAAATACGTTTATATAAAGAAGCAGAATAAAGGGGCATGGTTGATTTATGCTTAATAGGGACCCTTAGATCTTCTAAAGAACATAGAAGATGGCATAATAAAATTTTGTACTTCGTTATCAGAAAGACGTTGGGAGACTTCTCTCTATCTCGTTTGAAGCCGTTGACATCAGCAAACGTCGCAGACCAGGCTTCTTTCGTCTGCTGATTACTTTAACTGCCTTCAGACTGTCCACAACAGATTCACTGTCCAATAGACAGTGCGCAATAGCACTATTTTGATGCCAGTGAGCCGTTTAGTCTCACAATCCATACGATATATGAAAGGACAGACATGAGAGTCACTGTCTACGGGCATTGCACGCGTAAAGAGACAATGGGGAATCGTGCATCGTCTAAGTGATAACAAAGTGTGCAATTTCAATACGTCATCTTCTGTCTTGTTTAGAAAATCTTATTGTTTCAAATAAAGATGACTCACCCTATCTTTTAATGGGGTAAAAATAACAACAATGACCAATTTCAAGAAAAATGGTCTGGAAGCTTCTTCAAACAAATCGTTACAAAATGTTTTAGAATCCTATCATCAATAACAACAAAATCTAAAGCCCTGAAGAAATACAAACTCATAAGATCGAGCTGAAAGGGTATTTATTGATGAACTGTTAAACTGACTTTATATAAAACAAAAATTCATTTGAAAACAATCGGATAAACCAAGGCCTATTATTAATAAGTATTTATCACTATTGATTGATCTGAGTATCGGGAAATCACGGATCAAGCCAGATCGGATGATTTGAAACGGTACAGCTTGTTGAGGGGGTAAATAATTCACTAACCTCAGGAAATCTGTAAGTTTCAGTAGCTAAAGGTGCTGTTTCAGTTACTAGGTGATGCCAATGATCCTCTAACCAATGTCAGCTCATGATGAAATCCTGTAACCGATCAACCAAATACCTACAAACCAACACTTGAATATCAGTCTGATGCTCGCTGGCGAATGACAATATTGAGGTAGGTATTTACCTGAGATCTAGTGAAGTGGAGCAGGTCAGGTGTGAGGACAAATACTCGCCGAAGACATTCGTTCGTGGTTGTGTCATATCATGAATTGGAAGACGTTGGAATTCATGAACCATGGGATCAGGTCCCAGTGGCTTAATGGTCTACGAGCTCATCTTATAACCAGAAGGTCTTGGGTTCAAACATCAGTGAGTGCACAATGCCGAAGAGTCCCAAACTATGACGGAACAGTGGTCCATTACTCCCAGGTTTTCTAATGGTCCTCCAACCAATGTCATTTCATGATGACATCCTGGAAACATTCAAATCTCTTCAAACTAACATTTGAATACTAAATAATACGATGAAGATATTTTGACACTGTAGAAGATCAGTGGTCCACTATGGGAAAGGTCCATGTTCAACTCCTGGAAGGTGCAGTGATAAACCTTGCCTATATTACTCCTAGATAGTAAGTATAGAAAAGACAGAAACATGGGTGTGATCTGAAAGCCAGACGCACGAAACGGCTCTCCGATTTTTAGATCACTACATTATGTCTAAGAAGCACAACAAGAACTACTACTTCCATATTATTTACTACCACAGTGCCCAAGTTTTACACATATATTAAGAACTACTACTGTGAGTGGCACACACACACTCATTTCAGTCATTCAGTAGTATGTATTGTCATGCACTGATCTTCGCCACCTTGAATACCACTTAAATTATCAAGCTGATCACACATTATGGTCTGAACAACTTAGGTCTCCACAGAAAACTACGTCGAAATTTCCCTTGGAACCATTCGATTTTCAGATGGTGAGTTCGATTCCACTTCACACCAAACCATCATAAGTTTCTTTTCAACTATTGTATGTCACTGATTTTTTGTATTTAAAGGTTAAATTAACACTAGTGGAGTTTTATTCTCATTAGGTACTTTATAGACTTAAAATGGCAATTATTCAGAGTCAGTATGAGTTTCAATATCAGCTCTCAGGCAACTGGAGTATATGACTATAAAACCTTGGTTGAAGACTTTATATGCCACCTTTCAACCATTCACGTGCTCTGATTTCTTTCCCGGATGACTTACATCTAAACCTAGTGTAGACAATATTAACCAGAGATAAGAGTGAATGGTGGACATCAGTCCATCGCTCCCACCCCGTAAAAAGAACGCATGCGATACTGAAATTTCATATTTCAAAGCCTGAAGCCATATGTTCAACTCAGATGGCAAAGGAATGATAGAAAATGTCGTTATTTGTAATGGTTCTTCTGTTTGACATAGTTGTGTATTGTCAAGTCAATGAATTAACGAAGATAACAGAGGTGTTCAAAGTTCTCGATTTGGCAGTATGTGTTCATATATTGAAAGTGCTTATTAATCTTGAGGTGACAAAGTAAGCTAATGGGAGGTTTTTGGGCAAAGGTTAAACTCTATTTCCCACATGTTTTAAAATCAAGTCACAACATCGAATTTGATCGTGACACGGTTTACAAAAGTAATAAGTAATGACCCACAGTAGAAGTGAGGCAGTTTATTAGGACAAAATTAACCGGAACCCAACTGTAAGCGCAATATAGCTTGAAATTAAGTCACGCGTAGATAAAGGCTATCCTGGTCCAGAACAAACAAGAAGCAGGTCACTGTTTCTACGGTACTATTAATGAACAAATCAATAATTATATATACAACAAACCTTAACGGTTTCAAGAGTGCAAAGCACAACGCTTAACAGAAAGCAAGGCACCGCTATCACAGCGGGATAACGTTAAAACCAAAATTGCGAACTAGCCAGAATCAAACACGACCGTTCAGGTAAGCAGTCAGTAGAATAATGAACCCAAGTAAGGGATAGACAGAGCATAGGTACAAAGATAGAATATAATTCGCTACTTGACCAGGTAGGCTGATACAGATGAAGATCAATAAATAAGAGAAACTCAACAGAATAGTGCAAAGTAAGACATGGGTCGGCAAAATAACAGTTCACAAAAATATTCTGATTGGGTCATGAGTTCAACTGTCTGACTAAACGGATCGATGTAAAAACACACAGTTGATTAAACGTGGGGAAATAGACATGTTAGGCATGTATTATTGGGTTGCAACAACGCTAGTCTGATCCGGGACAGGTTGACTTGATTCAAGGATGGGAATTGAATTGATCGATGGTACATTGAGTGGTTAGAACGCTCGCCGGCCATGCATATGTTCCAGGGTTTGACTCGCGGCCTACGTACACCTGATATCAATGGTCGGCATACTAAATTCGGCCTACTGTTATTACTAGTTCAGCATAATAATGACATACAAAGGAACCATGATTAAGTTACTAAATGTATGTACAGAGATTTTGTAAATTCTGGCCTACTCTTCTTTCGACTAACCAGCTCAGTCTGTAGATCATCAGAATCTTAATCTCATGACCATACGTTTGCATCGGTGGCACAGAGGTAGAATGCTCACCAACCACTCCTCACACGGTCTGGGGTTCGGTCCTCGGATGACGCACTCCTAAACGAAAATTAAGCGAATAATAAGACTGGTAAAGAGGAAAGATTGGGCATGAGGCTAGCCACCTCCATCCCGTAAAATAAACACCACTGCTACGGAAACTTCAACCCTGTGTCTTGAAGCCCTACGTTCCACTGGGAACACAAAACTTTCTAATAGCAACAAACATCATAAACCATGGATAGTGAATATCAGTGGAATTCAGTATGTGAATTTCGTCCTATTTGGCACTCCTCAACTGAATGTAACTGCTGTCATCACTGAGTGATGCTTTATCCTTGTGGGATTCGAACCTAGCACCCAGCATTTCAGAGGTGTAAACACTATCCACTTTACAATTCACTAGTCACCATTGGCATCACTTTATTCATCAGACATCCTAGAAGCCTATATACTACAAGCTGACATGTCAACGAAGACCGAAGATTTAGACCCAGAATTATCAATCAACGGAAAACGCAAAATTAGACAAACTAAGAATCAAATTGCACTTACCTACGGTTATGTAATAGTCAGGATTACTTAATCTTAGTGTTGAATTTTCTGATATATCTTGACTGTTATGATTATTATTCGTTTCGTGACAAGAGCGTTTATTATCATTTGACTGAGTCGACTGGTTCTCTTCGTCTTCTTCTTTGTGTATTGCTTTCATTGTACATGTATATACACCACTGTCAGTTAACCTGGCATTTGTGATGCGCAGTCTCCATCTATCTGGTGGCTTATACTTTACACTGATTCTATTGTCTGGTATAAATCTTCGTTTACCAATTGTCAGAGGATACTCCATACCAATTTTATTCCATATTACCTACAAATTGACAAAAGAAAGTAAACAAAATCTTCAGGAGTAGTTGACAGATATTTTAGTGCCATCATGCTGTTATCCGACTTATGAGAGGCAAAAGAAGAATCTAGAATGCAGATTTCGCCCCAGTTTTGGCTTGTTAGCTGGATAAACCTTCAGGCTATTTAGGGATTTTGTCTCCACTGAGACTGGGATTCAGCCCTCACCATTTTGAACGTAAAAGCCTTAGCCCCTAGGCCACTGGTTTGTAACAACTACGTGACATTCCAACTTTTAGTACTGCCACATGAGAACATCCAAAGTGACAAAACTGTCTTTCTGGATATTACCAACCATTTTAGTAGCTGTTTTTAGACGCCATAAATATAGTAATTATTGACACATTTTGAAGAAATTTGTTGTCTTTCGCATACATTTGCCACAATATCTTTTGATAAAAAAATATCTAGTTATGTTGTGCTTATTGACTTGTTATTTAATGTATACGTGAAATACGAATATGTCTGTTCAGTGTAACCTTACTTGACTTCAAACATAATCCTTCAAAAGAAAACAGTGAACTAAAACTCAGCTGTAAGTTGTGCATCTATTCTAAATTATATGTAACAGATGTTTGTGATTACAGATAAGACTGATTGGAAGGTTTCACCATGAGCTGACATCAGTTAGAGAACCATTGGAAAACCTGTAGGGAGTACTGGATAGCCAGCTGTTTAGTCAGCCTATTTTGAGACATTTCACTGGTACGCAGCAGTTGCCAGGGTTCGAACCCAGGACCTTCTGGTTACAAGGTCACTAAGCAACTGAGGCCCGATCCAGTGGCCAACCCATGAACTCTTACTTCTGACAATTCATGAGATAGCGCAACCACTTCACAATCTCTTTTTCAGTGAGTTACTGTCTCACCTTGAACCTGCTATACCTTAGTGATCACGGCCTCCCAGTAGAACCCCAGGTTAACTGCCTAAATAGGGTCCGTGGCTTAAAAAGTATTCTGATGCTCATCAGCGACTGGCCTAATTCAGGAAGTTAATCTTGGTTTCTAATGGGAAGACGTGACCAAGTGGTTGCGCTATCCCATGAATTTGCAGAAGTTCGAATTCATCGGTTGGTCATTACATCGGGTCTCACTGGATCAATGGTCTGCGAGCCAGCTGACCTTGTAACCAGAAGGTCCTGGGCTGTAACCGTTCCAGTGTGTGCGTAGTGCTGAAGAGATTCAAACTAGGGCGCAGGAGACAGCTTTCCAGTACTCGCTGCAGGTTATTCAATGGTTCTCTAACTGATATCAGCTTACGATGAAATCCTCCCACCAATCAAACAAAATTCCCTACCATACTAATGCAGCTAAGATTGATTATTCATAATCATTTGCCAGTCAACCGTTTTGTTAAATTAATAAATATTCAGAATTTGACATATCTACGGCAGATACCATTGTGATTGCTTCTTTGCTTCATGAATGGAATACAGGACTTCAGGAGTACGCTTATATTCTACTCTGTTTTCGGTTGTCACCCTCAATTAAACCATTCCTTGACCGTAAACAAACCTTTATTTTCTGTGAACATGATCCACTCATTGTCATTTAAGGACCAATGTCTGACTCATAGCTTCACAATCTACTCAACGATCTTCTTAGACAGTACCGAACCCATTTATATTTCTCCATCCATATATATAGGATGTTGAATAAGTTGCTGGCTGGTTCCTTACAAGGGTTCGTAGTAGCTTTTTTCTGGTGGCCGGCTGTCTTGAATATCAACTGAAGGCAGGTGCTGATGAACGTTTGCAGCAGTCTGTTGAAAATATTTTAGTTGACGCACAGGTAAAGTGTCTGAAGCAAGCAGAAGCACTGAATCGTTTGGCAGATGTGTTGAAAATTCAGTTGTCGTTCAATGTGATGAAGACTTCAGAGGCCCACATAGATTCGGTAGTTATGAAGGCTTGTCTTGCATTCCCAAGACTACCTTGCCTTCTATATGCTCATACTTTGCCCCTCAACTGCAGTCGGGACGATGCTTCTGGGGTGAGTTTGTGAATAAGCCGGCTTTCTTCAGATTTTTCACACTGATGGTGACTGGTGTTCTGTAATGTTGCATGGGTAGCTTCATCACGTCTGCATTCTCAATGTTCGCCGGAAGCCTTGTCCCCACTGTTTATTTTTTAAATTCATGATTCTTTGACTTTCTGCTACAAGTAATGTAAATTCTTTGCGAAGTCTAGTCCTCTGAGTATATCTCTCTGTATCTACAGTCC